TTCACCTCTAAATCAGCAATGCGACTACTGTAACCCCCATTTCCTCTTCCTCTACGATCACCCGTTCTACCAGGACAAGCATTGGCACGGTGGCCTCGTGCAGCACATTTGAAACAAGCACCAGTACGTAAACGATGAGATCGTTCTTCATCGGATAGTCGAGTAAACGAAGATGAGATGTCCATCGCATTGGGGTCTCGAGCTGGTGTTGATACAGTGGTCGAAGTGTCTGCTGTACCGTGGATTTTGTTGTCCAGTTTGATCGCGAGGTTGGCTATTTGATCTACTGAAGTGAACTCATCTTGAACTAGTACCATAGCTACTCTTATGTCTCGTTTCAGGCCTTGTTCAAACTGGCTGATCAGTGTAGGCACTTCCCAGCCTGTGTTAGCAGCGTGTAAGTTAAACTCATAGGTGTACGCTGCGACAGTGGATTTCTGGGTAAGGGATCGTAATGCCTTCTCCGCCTTCGACTTCTTTTCGGTGTCGAAATACATCGCTTTAAAGTTACGCACGAACCGGTCAAACGTGACTAAATGGGCAGTGGAGTCGTCAAGTAACTCTGTCATCATCGGTTGGGCCCATGAACTCGCAGTACCCGTGAGGTATGATAGCGCGAATACGACCTTAGTACGGTCGGTGGGGAATAGATGAGGGTGTGCCAACATATACAGTTGGACTTGGCTGGCAAAGACTTCAGCTGGGCCACCTCGATTGCCATCGAACTTGTCGGGCGTGGCGACCTTAGGCCCTTTGGGATTTGGGGTCGTCTCGTGTTGTGGCACTGTAGGAGGTGCTGCATTCCCCGCATTAGTGAAGGTATGCGAAGTAGTGTTACGAGAAGACTCGATAGCGGCTAATCGCTCTTCCGCCTGTCTACTGCGGGCTTCGGCTTGTTCTCGAAGGCGACGTTCTCCGGCTAATGAATTCTGGAGTTCAGTTAACTGACGCTGGATTTCCTCCATCTCATCGACCGTAAGTTCAGTGACAGGTGGTGCTTGGTTGGTGTCAACAAAGGATTCCTCACGATCACTATCCGGATCGTCGTCGTCGAGCAAGGGAGATCTGTATGAGGGAGACGTGATCGATAGAGTTCTGCGGAGGTAGTTCGGTGTTAATCTTCAGTGGTGCGTTCAATATCAAGTATAAAGTTTCAGTTCAATGATTTTCTAAATATGATCTAATCTATCCTTCTTGTTGTTTCTAATCTTATTCGAGTTCAATTTCAATTCTTAAAGTTTCTGATTCTAGTTTCTCTGATCTGTTGATGCCCGCTTGTTGTAGATACGACAATATGTTAAGGCCTCGGTGTGGGGTTCTCGGCGGGGATCAAGGTTGGGTGTCTAATAAGCTATGCAGATTGTCGTATGAAGAAGAAAGAGAAAAGACAACTGTGGTTTGTACAACATAGTCTAATCTTGTGTCTGTGACATCTACTACCCGGTATTTCACTAACAGTTACATGTCTCTTGAGGATCGTAACACTGTGTGAGGGCTACATAGTTGCAGGAGGTTTTGAAATGATGGTCTCTTGACAGTTGAAAACGGGAGATCACAGTCGGCTATAAAATAACACACATGCGTCTTGAGGGTGGCAATGTTGAGTTTATTCTTGGAAATTGTATTGTAATTTGTGAGTTGATCAATATTGTGAGCAATGGAATGATGAAATCTTTCAAAAGATAAAAGAACTCACTGTATGACCTGTTTTGCCCTTCTTGACTCCAACAATGGCCCCTTGATCAGATAAAATGCCATCGCGCATACAATGTTTGACTTCGAGGTGGTTCTTCTTAGACGTTGTACTACCTCTTGGATCGCGAGTCAGCTCATTCCCACATTCTTTTCCATCGGCCATCACAAATTGACACTTGTTTTTTCCTGAATTGGGTAGCTTTACAAAGTACTTCCAAACCCAGCTTATACGAGCAGTTGGTGTTGAAGAAATATCACCAAAGTCGGAGGTTTCGGCTTGGGAGGCTGTGTTGGTAGTGGAATCTAGGGCTGAAGACATGTTGTGGAGATAAAATGATTAATTGTGGATTTGAATTAAGTTTAATCTTGTAGTATGATTCAACAAGGATTGAGTTTGATTCAGATTGAGTTCGATTCGACAATAATTGAGCGGCGATGAGTCATGACAAAGTTCCCAATACCAAATTATTATTGGGAAAAAAAAGGAGACCTGCTTTTATGACCCGGACCGGTCAAAAAAGCCCCGGGTCTGCATGCGGCTGGGTTCAATTGCCAGCTAGGACATTTTTTTGGGCCTGGACGCCGGATATCCGACGGATATCCGGTCGAGTACCGGATCTGGCGACTCCAGCGGATAAAGACCGGTCAGATATTATCCGATAGGGTTTTTTTCCAAAGTATCCGCCGGTTCGGTTGACGGAATGGGCTGGTCCCACCGGATAGTCGCCGGGTGCCATCTTGAGTTTAAAGAAGTGATGATTTTTGGTTTTGTTCAGTGAGTTGGTTACTTAGCACCCTTAATGGGATTAAAACACTTTGAAAGATTATGTAAAGTTGAAGTTGAATTTAAATTTGAATTTGAACTGTTTAATTTAAATTTTAAAAGGAACGGTTTGTTTAAAGTGAGACTTGAGAAGTTGAGTGAGATGATGGAAGAGTTCTTCTTGAAAGTTCGATTCACTATTTCTACTTTACCACTAATCACTCAACTTTCTTGAACCCCTTTTTCAACAAACCAACTCAAACCACGAACGACACCATCGAACTATCCATCAAACCACAAAAACCATCCAAAACCAAATGAGATCATCTTCAACTTCAGCTTTAAGATATTCAAATCATCATCATCATCATCACCATTCACCTTCTTCTTCTTCTTCTGATTCAACAGCCGATTCAATCACTCAAATATCAAATTCATCCACTTCTCATTCCAACTCTCATTCTCATTCTCATTCTCCTACTCAATCAATCTCAAACATTATCATCAAGTCATCATCAACAACAACCACTACCATTCTCACTTCAAACGACAAGATTGATTCTCATTCAAATACCAATTCAAATTCAAGTTCAAAATTCAACTCTAATAATCTCAACTTGAATTCAAATCAACCATATCAATATCTTCATTCAAAACGTTTATCACCACCTCCACCTTTACCTTTACCTCCGTTCCATCAACTGGCTCATTCAACTAGATTCTCAATATCTAAATTCTTATCATCTCTTCCTGTCAATTTGAATTCAAATTCAACTCGAACTACAAAAACTATCCTTTTCATCTCTTTGGCAATCACTTCAACTGCTTCTTCACTCTTACTTTCGATTCTTGCCACTCGACTTACTCATCTTTCTTTAGCTACCTTTCCTGCTCTAGAGTATCTAGCCCTGACAATCTTGAGCAGGTTGGCTATTTATTTAGGTTTCGATAAGAAATCTCATCGTCAGCTTTTGACAACTACTTCATCTTCAACTTCACAAAATCTTACTTGGCGTCAAGCTGTTCGTTATGCACTTCCTACTGCTTTCTTTGGTCTTATTGCTTCTTGGTCAAAAGCTGAGGTGGCTGGTAGAGTGGGAATAGGTGTATGGCAAGCTTTAGAGGTACTTATGATTTCGCTTCATCATCTCTCATGATTCTTTTTCATCTAATCATTCTTGGTTTTTTTTTCTTACTATAGGTCTTTGCTTCACCTGTTCTTTTGACTCTAGTGACTTCACATCCACCACTTCAACCTTCAGCTTACGCTTTTATCCTGACTTCACTCTTAGCATTCGGTGTTTCATTAATCTTACTATGTCAATCGAGTCCACCGGCTGCACTCTTCTTAGGTCTCTTATCTCCTATAGCTCAAGCTCTCTCATTAGTCTCACTCAAAACTTGGTTATTATCATTCCCATCACGTGGTCCGATCAGAGCTTTGGCTACTGTAGCTCCATTTGGTTTGATCACCATCACTTTACCTGCTTTGGCTCATTCGGCTTCAAGATCGGTTCATGGATTAGGTTCATTAGGTGTGATGCCTAGGTTGACTGCTGGAACTTCAACTTGGCTATTCATTTATATTTCATTAAGAGTCACTGAACGGTTCATTGAAGTGATTTCGATTTCCAAACTTCGATCTCCACTCTCAATCACTTTCTTAGGACCAGCTCGAAATTTGTTTTGTTTATTGATTTCACCATCGATTCATGTTTATGTTGGATTGACGACTGGACAAGCGGCATTGGTAGTAGTCTATTTACTTACGTTAGGAGGACTTTGGGCTGTTGAACCTGAAGTGGGACATATGGTGGGAATTCGATCACCAGTAGTCACTCATGATTGTTTTATTCAAAACGATCCTTCACCTTCTTCTTTGCCAACAACAGCTAGTACGATCAATCAAAGTTATATGAAAGAAAACAAAGAAGCAACAGAAGAAGAAGAAGATGAAGAAGATGAAGAAAGAAGTTGGGATGGATATTCGACTAATCCTGAACAGCTTTCAACTGTTTGGATTCGAACCTTGAGATTAGTTTCGTTTGGACCATTGATCGTGTTACTTTTCTTAAGGGTTTTGAATCAAAATGTTGGGGATTTTGGAAATAATGTGGTCGGATTAAGAACAGGTGCTAGACCTGGTCGAGCACCTGGATCGATTGATTTAGTGTTTTCGTATTATAATGAACCCTTAGATAGTTTAACGAGTGTGATTGGTTATGTGAGTAGTGTCTTACCGATTGCAGTTCAACATCCTAGAGTAGTGGTTTATGTTAAAGATCCAGAAGGAGATTTAGAACATATTTTAAAAGTCACTGGAGCCGATGAAGTGGTTCGATTACCTAATGTCGGAAGAGAAGGAGGAACGTATCTTTCACATATCTTAAGACATTATAATGCTTCAATCGATTCATCTTCACCTTCACCTATCTCGAATCGAGCCTCAAGAGTGTTAGGATCACCTGAAGTTTGGGGTTTAGCTGATCATACGGTCTTTATGCAACCTGAGGTGACCTGGCATTGGATTGCGAAACCTAGGATGGAATTGTTTGATTCCAAACGGACTGGGTTCTTGTCTTTTGGTCCTTATCTTTCTTCGGTTTGTGGTCAAGATGGACTTGGGAATGGGAATTATGAAAGGATGAGAGATATTTATGTGATGTTTCATGAAACTGTAAGTTGGTTCTTTCACTAAACTTTTTTTTTTCAAGTTTTTTTGTATCAACCATCAATCTAGATCTGATCTTTTTTCTTTTTTGGATGATCTTGACATTTTTTTTTCTCTTTAGCTTTGTCCACCCACCGGTCAATTATCATCATATGCTGGACAATTTATGGTTTCACGTAAACGAATTTTACATAATTCGTATAAGAAGTATGAAGAATTGAAATTGATTTTAGAAGCACCACTTGAACATTGGATTCATTCAGAAGGATCTTGGTTTACATGGAAAGGTTCAACTGATCAAGGACCTGCTTCGAATCCTAAAGGACCGGTTTCTCCTTTCTTTGGTCATGCACTTGAAAGGTCTTGGCCTTTGATCTTTGGGTGTGTGGATCCTTCGATTGCTGAGATTTGTTCGGATGAAGTGATTGATAGTGAGAAATGTCAATGTTTTGATTGATTGGATTGGATTGGATTGGGGGTTTTGTTTGTTTGGCTCTTTTTTGATTTTTGTTGTGAAATTTGTTGGGTGGAAAGAGTTTGAGCTTGGTGAAGATGATGATGATGAAAAAATTGATTAGAATTAATTAACTTTTTTTCTTTCCTTCTTCTTTCTTTCTTTCTTTCTTCTGTTTTCTATCTTTCTCTCTTTTTAGATCTTTTTACTTACGATTTCATTTATTTACCTTTTTTCTGTTCTTGAGGTATTAATCTGTTTTTGTGTTTTTTTGATTTTTTTTTGTTTTCTTTGGTTTTGTTTTTGATTCGATTACACTTGTATTTTATATATACATACATACATATATATTATATCATCATCATCATCAATCTTGAAACCCCCCCAAAAAAAAGAAAAGAAAAAACTTGGTTTGATTTTTTTTCTTTCATGAGTTTTTTTGTGATTGATTGATGATGGTTTGATTTGATTGTCTTTGAGATTAGATTTTTGAAAGAAAATTAAACTTTGAATTAAAAAAAGATGGTGATTGATGATTGATGATGAATGTATGCAAGGCTGGCACTAGACTAGACTATACTATACCATACTATACTATACTTGGTATAGTATACATATTATCATAGTTCATATTACCACAACCCCTTTGTAAACATATTCCTTGAAGATGTCTATTAGACTTGTTCAAATATAGAAAAAGAAATCTAGAGGGAAAAATTGAGAGCAAAAAATTTACAACTTGGTTATTGCATACAGTCTGTAGATGGAGGGTATGAGATGTACAAAGTGAGCAAATTTTTATTCAACTCTCAATTTTTGGGGGGTCTCTCAAAGTAGGATTTTAAAATGGAGAGTCAAAAGATTTTGAACCTTTTTGACTATCCAAGTGTGTCACAGTATATCTACCACTTCCCTTGCACTGCCCTCATGCTGTATTAGACTGTATTCATGTGTGATAGGTCGAAATGAGCAATGTCACTAGCGAGAGAGTTTAAAATCTTTTGACTCTCAATTTTGAAATCCTACTTTGAGAGACCCCCCAAAAATTGAGAGTCAAATAAAAACTGACTTGCTTCCTCTTGCTCTGTACATCTCATAAACTCCGTGTACAGGCTGTATGCAATAGGGGGTTTCAAGTTGAATATTTTTACACATTTTTACGCTACAACAACTTGCCCGTTGTTGTAAATTATGCATGAAATTTTAAAGCGGGACACCTTTTTAGGTGTCCCGATTTAAAAATACAATGGTTTTACACATATTTTTTTTTTTCAAAAAACTTGCCTGAATTTTTAAAAAATACGCAAAAAAACATCCAAACTTGAAACCCCCTAATAACAAAGTTGTCATTTTTGTGCTCTCAATTTTTGTCTCTAAATTTCTTTTTTATGTTTGAACAAGCCTATTGTCTGCAAAAAATGCCACATCAACTTGGTCAAACAACAATACACACAATTTAAAACATGTGAAGACTTCATCAAGAAGCTTAGCAATGATGTACATTACCAACACCAATGATCTCCCAAGTGCTTCTGAAAACCATGCATTTGATCATCAAGTATCAGTAGTAGACAAGAAATTCACAAGCACTTAGGAACCACTTTGCTGCAGTGATTAGACAGCAACATCAAGTCCTCTCATGTTTGAATCAACCAGCTTGATCTTTGTCTTCTGCTTTGAAGCAATCAAACACATTAGCCACTCAATCATCATACACTTTGACTGCTAAGTTGGTGATGTATCACCATGGCTGGATCAGTCAAATGTTCTTTTCTTACCATTCAGAAAACATCAAAGTTTCAATCACTGAAGACAAAACTGATAAGCTTCTCTGGATCAAAGCTTGCTGTGAAATATTTGAACAGTTTTCTAGTGAAATACAAGAGATAATGAAGAACCTTCCAGCAGATCCACTCTTCTTACAACCAGTGACTAGTGATTGGGGGCTGTGAGTCAAAAGAACAAAAGATGCGGCTGTCTAGTTGAGAATAAGCATGTTCAATTCACCAGAGGATGATTCAAGCTTGTTATTTGACAACAAACACAACATCTGATCCAATTAAATTCATTGCTTGAGGATCTCGGGTCACTTTTATAGGAGTGGTTATGGTTCATATTGCGAGTCAACAGATGAAACTAAAGTTGTTGGTGTTCAATCAACAAAGGAAAAGGGTTAAATAAAATGAAGAATTAGAAGTCAAGTTTCTGGCTGAGAAATGAGTAGATGAGATGTGTGAAATAAAGGATATTCAGAAAGGATGACATATTAGACAAAAAAACTTACCCCAACCAAAAATGATTCTCATTTTTACTAATAATAGTCTTGCTGAGAAAAATTTTACAATCTCTTTCTTCAACTTTGGAAAGAGAACATATGTAAAGGTTTTGTTATGATTAGTTTTTCTTTACTTGAAATGATCAATCTAATTGTTTTATGTTTCAGTCTTACCTTACCATAGATCAAATGAGCTCAATTCTTGTGTTATTTTCTTTCACATCTACTGAACCGTCACAGGTAGATATCAAACAAAACTTCTTGTTTTGATTCATCAGAATTATCTTTTTGTTCACTTTGTTTGTTTTGTTGTCATTGGGTTGTAGGTCAGCTCAGTCCTTAAGTTAGTAATAGGAGAGTGAGCATTATTATATCTAACAGTTGGCATATCTATCAGGTCAGGTCAGTCCTTAAGTTAGGAGAGTGGGAATTATTATATCTATCAGGACCGTCACTGTGTGTTCCAAAACTGCTAGGCATTTTCAAAAGTCATGATTCCAGGTCAATTCAAATTTGAAAGATCATCCAGCTGAAACAACACAGACAAAGATGCAAGTGTCTAGCACATCAGTTGACAAACAAGTCCAAGAATGACAATCAATTCATACATGGTTGTGTGTCAGGGGAAGGTAATCAGGAATTTACTCCTGGCAAGATTTGCCTGGGACAATTATCAATCCTACAACAAGATAACCATGATGTACAATGATGATGCTTTCCACTGATACCAATTCTTGAAAACACAGGCAAACAGATTGCATTCTTTTATATGTTGAGAACATTAACATTGTGAGGTAAGTCAATTCTTGAGAGGGTGAATGTTTTTGGATACCTTGAATGTTGTGGTGATCTATTTATGGGATCAATCAAGGAAATTAATCATTATTACTTTACCAAGTTATTAGGAAACTTCAGTGTAGCAGGAAATTCAAAATGGGGGTTTCCAGATCAATTGAAGCTCTTATAGGCTTATGTGTAGTTATTGGCTTACAATTATGTCATCACATTTCAAATATATTCTTATGATCATTATAGTTTACTTACAAACTTATCACAAAAAGACAGAAAAAGAAAAGATAAGAAAAATTTGAAAATATAGGTATAAAGGCTTGGAGATGGTTTTTAGGGTAGTGATATTAGGTTTGTGGGTTTAGTAAGGTTAGAATATGAAAGAACAACATTATATTATACTATAGAAATGTTAATCTTGAAGGTTGATAAGGAGAAACAGAAGTTATTAGCAGAAAGGTACTTTTTCAAGGATGGTAAACCAGGGTTATATATGTAGTTTACATATGTAATGGTGGTAATAGTGGAATTTAAGGTTTCCAAGAAGATTTTCCAGGATTTTTAAGGTTATAGAAGATGATGTCATATTACATGAGCAAGGAAAAGAGAGTAGAAGCTGTGAAAAGTGGTAAAAATGGGGGAATTTTGTCAAAAATGAAGGTTTTCAGCTAATTGTGTATGTCAAATGACGTCAGATTGTGATGGTAAATGACTCATTCAAAGCAGAAGAGTAGATTACATAATGTAAAAACTTTAAATCATTAGTAGCGGAGGTGTATGAAAAACGTTATAAGGGAAATAAGAAATTGGTGTGAATCTCGAATTTACAGTCACAAGTCAACATGTAACACCATAAACCTTAACTTCACAGCTCAATATCGTACTCATCACTCATCAGAAGTAAGTCATATGGGTGTGATAAATGATAAGTATCACGAGGGCTACAAGATGCACTATAGTAATCCAAAATTGGACCCCATCTGAAAAAATTTGTAATCTCAAAAATTGGTTTGCAGCTAGTTTACAAGGAAAAAATCACATGTATTCATCATAAGAAGTGCTGTACATTGAATAATTGCGTCATTGATCACTTTTGGCTGTGAAACTTACATCATAAATTAGTAACAACATCATTACATTGCATCATCATATGGTTTTTAGGGTTCTTTAGGCGGATTTGGCTGGTTTTTGAGGCTGTTGACTATTGGAGATTGTTGTTACATGTGGATATAAGTACTCCTTGATGATTTTGGGCTTGTTGTTCCCCTTTCTGCATCTTATACCTTTGTTGCAGTGTTATAAATCATCATTTATTTACTATATTTGTACTAAGATCACTTGAATCTGCCCCTTCAAAGCAAGGAGAAATTTATTTACGTGTGTTAAAAGACTATAAGTCTCTTTGGGAATAATACTTAAAACAGTATCTCTAGTAATAAACATAATTTGTGGACTTTTTTTGCACTTAAAATCTGGGAATAATACTTACAACAGTATTGCCATATTTCTCTGGTGCCTTTATCTATCTCTCTGTTATCACAAAGTGGTCAGCAAGTGCCCTTGTGCTGGTTTCTTTGAAGAAGGCAGTCTTTAGGCAACTTCTACTATATTACACATATTAGATTATCCCTTCTTAGGTGTTGTAAAGCTCTTGTTGAGCTTTAAGTACTACAACTTATCTCACCCTTTCAATCACATTTTGAAGGTGTTCACCTTTGCTTACATTTTGAAAAATGCTCAGTTTTCATTTCTCATAATGTTCAAAGCATATAACTCACTATCAACATCAGATATGGAATCAGCTGTAGTGAATGAATCTTTGGCAGGCTTTTCCTTTGTTTGCATGTTGAGGATGCATGATCAGCATCTCGTTATGCATCTCAATAGTGTTTATTTTATTTCTTCATCAGAGAAAATCAATCACAAGAAATGGTTGAGGAGCTTCCCTAGTGTGAGTTCAGTGCTGAATTTTGCATGTGAATGACCTTGCAGATGAGTTGCTGACCCCAACATCTTAGTCATTCACTCCTATTTGGGTGCCAATAGAGTAACCTGCTATAGCTACTCTCTTTGTTGCAACAGAACAATGGCAGAATTCACAAAATATGTGACAACTCCTACCCACCAGAGAAAATTGGCTACATGTAAGGCTCTATTGGCAAAAAGAGCAGGCAATCAACAAGCCCTGATGCAATCAACAGGCACCTCACAAGCTCAGAGAGAACTGACACCTACTCCACTACTCCAAGGGTCCTCATCTTTGATCAGAAAAAGCTCCCTGGAGAGCAAATCACCTGGGTACTCTATTCAAAGGCATAGGCTCACCTTGTGGTTGCCAAATACACCCACTTTGGTTGAAAGACACAAGAGGTCACCCTTGTTTGAAATCCAATCAGCTGGGACACTATCTATTCCACTGCAGAGATGTACATCAGCTTCATGGAATTCTAACATGCCAGAGCTACTAATGCACCCCCATCACTCTGCAATATGAGTGCTACTGGTTTGGAGAAGTCTAATATGTCAAGATCACCCTCTGTTGAGATGCAATCTCCTGGAACACCATCTATTCCACTGCAGAGACGTACCTCAGGTTCATTGAATTCTCCATCCCCTGTGCAACATTGTTCCAGAGTTTCCTCAGGGGTATTTCAATCAACACTTTGCTATTTTATCCCAAGGCAGAGGTCAGCATCTAGTTCACCCATGTCACTCTACAATATGAGTCCAAAAGGAGTGGCAAATTCCAATATATCAAGACCACCCTTTGTCCAGATGCAATTACCTGGAACACCATCTAATCAAATGGAGAGACATACATTGAGGTTGTGGAATTCTCCAGCCTCTGGTCAAAATCATTTAAGATTTTTGTCAGTTGGATTTCAATCACCACCACTCTCTGTGATCCACAGGCAAAGGTCAACATCCAATTCACGCGAGTCACTCGACAATATGAGTGCAACAGGATTTTCAAATCCTAATATCTCAATGGATAAAACTGTCACTGATAGTGGTTCTTCAGAATCTAATGGTGGCTCTTCAGAAGATCAGAACTTTGAATACCTGATGCAGGAAGCTAACAATTATGAATTTGGTGATGATGAAGACTGGGACAATGTGGTGTATCAGGGACCAAGTAGGGATAGACAAACACAAATTCTAATTTGAAGA